TGTATAGGGTAATGATATTTTACTCAAATAAATTGGGTTAAAGACAGATCAAATGATGTGACTTACCACATTGTACGTTTACATGATTTTTCTTAAGAAAAACAAAATTAACTTGTCGTTCTTAATTCCTTCTATTCTCTACTCTCTTCCTGTGTTCCTCAGCAACAGATATCATTATCCATTCTTCTCTTTCACTCTCTTTAATTTATTGACTGCATCAATGATTCCTCATCTCAACTAATTTTTGCCTTCAATTTCCTTTTGGATTGTTCCTTAGATTTTTTGTGGGGATTAATCATTATTAAATTCTTAATTACTTAAGTCATTGCGATGGAGCGATATATGTCAAATTCAATGATTGAAGGGTTGACTAAAATAAAGTCTGAGCACCTAATTAAGAAAAACAATAAGTTTGTTAACTTGTTGGCCAAAAAAAGGTGTGGGAACTTAAATTGAGGGTTTTGGAATCAGTTGGGCTGGGCTCAAATTGTTTGGGCCTTTACAGGCCGTTTTCCCTGCCATTGATCTGTTATTTGCAAAATGAAGGAACGAGTCACCCGGCCGAATTTCAGCGGCGTTCTGTTTATTTTTGTGAAAATTTCATTTCTTTACGATTCAATTCGGAGGAAGATTACAGAGGAGAGATGGCGAGCAAACAGATGACTGGGAATGCAGAACCGGAGAAGGAGAAAAACTCAGGGTTGCCCATGGAGACAAGCCCCTACCTCAAGTACAAAGATGTTGAGGACTACAAGCTCAATGCCTACGGCACCCAAGGCCATCTTCCCGTCAAGCCTGGGAAAGATGGCGGCGGTGGCGGCACCGACGCCCCCACTCTTTCCGGCAGTGACTCGGCTGTGGCTAAAGCAATATCAGAATGAATCAATGGCTCATGCCCATGCCGATCCGCTCCCATTTTTGCCTATGCTTTTTGTATGTTTTTCTCTTTAACCTCAAATCACTAATTGATTTATGAGGTGTATGCAATTTATCTGCCATTTTTTTTTCCCTCAGTCTAAAATAAATTCTTCTCTTCTTAAGATTGGAAAATCTGGCAAGTTCGAAGGTTTTATACCTTGTTTAATGTTCAACTTAAAATATATATATATATATATAAAAGTTAATTCTTCATAAATTTTTTACTTTTATTATGATTCATCTATTTTTAATCCCAAGAAAGAAATATACAATTTGATACTGAGAAGTACATGAGGATTTAAACCAACAGCTAGCCTACAAAGATTGATTCATAAATTTTTTTCAAAAGAGAAAATTATTCTGTAACGAGCTAACTAATTCAGTGATAATATCATTTTGTTGAAAATAAAAAATTATGATTTTGAATCGTATGGCTTACAAATGAAGTATAATTAAAAATGAGAGAAGGTTGCCTCGTTATATAACCAACATAATAATAAAATAAAATAAATTAAAAAAAGAGAAAAAGAGAAAATGATTCCTAAATTCTTGCGTTATACTCATGCCCACTTCATAATCGAAATTAACATTAGAGGACGAATTGAGTACAGGCAATTGGTCCTGACTCATCCGGGCTGGAAAAATGAGTTTCTTGCAGAAACATGTGGCATGTTACTCTCTTTTATGAAAACTTAATTAATTGTACCTTGAAACCAAAATAGACACATTGAACCAACCCTAGTTGAATGATCGACTCTTCAACTAAATCTCATTTCCATGTTCTCTAAGAAAAATTTAAAACTGCATTTTAAACCAATTTTAGCTGCTACATGAAAAAAAGATCATTATTTATTATTTTCCCCACAATTTTTACACCTCCAAAAACGAGAAATCCACTAAATAACTCTTCTTTCTTCCTTTGTACTCGGTTTGTATTATTTTTCATTACTCCTACTTTCATGCTTTTTAACTTGTCCTTTACGATAAATCAGGCTCGATTAGGGTTTTCAATTTGCTTCTGTTGTTTATAATTGGTTGACGATTTCTCCTGTTTATAAATAATTATATTAGATACATTGTTGCTTTAATTTCAGCTTGACTTCTATAATATCCATGAATTTTCTGCTTCATAAAATCTCTATCTGATTTAATTGAATTATGAAAGCATGAGAAATGGTGTAAATAAGAATGTGAATTTCACTTTTTGTTTTTATTATTTAAAGACGTTAAGTTCATTAGTTTATAAATAAAAATGTGAATTTTCAACCTTTTTTATTTAAAAATATTAATTTTTAATTTTTTTTATTTACGAATGTCAACTTTTAACATTTCAATTAAAAAATCCGTTTGTCATATTAATGTTATCATCTAATTAATTCTTAAATAAAAAAAGTTGAAAGTTGATATCTTTAAATAGAAAAAATCAAAAGTTAACATTTTTAAATAGAAAAAATTAAAACTTAACATTTTTATTTAAGAACGGATAAAATTAACATTTTTAAATAAAAGAAATCTCATGGGTGGTCACTCAACTTTATTAAAATCAACGTTTTGGTCACTCAACTTCTAATTCTAACAAAATGGTCACCTAACTTCTTAAGTTGTCCAACCGTTAGTCATCCATAGTTAATATTAACTGAAAATGTTAAATTGCCGTTAAGGTGGCTAAGTTGAATGCCAGGAGGATTTGACGGGCATTACAAGCACTAAAAATGTAAAAATTGTAATCTAAATCCCTAAAATTTTGGCTTTTTTTTAACTCTTCTAATTTAACCAAATATAGTGAATGAAAATGAATATTAGGAAAATTCAGAATAAATTACCAAATCAGTATGACATGTTGGCTGCATCTATAAAGTGAAACTTCTATAGGACTAGACAGATTTTTAAAATAAAGGGAAGCTAAATTTGCAAAGAAACCCCTTTTCTAACTTACCTAATAATAGACATAATGAATGAAAATGGACATTGAGAAAACTCAGAATAAATTACCAAACTAGTATGATCTAGTTGGCCATTTCTATAACATGAAACTTCTCTAAGACTAGTGTCAACAAAATTGGCACAACACAAATGATCAAAACTCTTGCAAATGTAACATTATATTTCTTATTTGAAAATAAAAATAACAATGTTGTATAGTTATATTGATCATTTTAAAATATAATTAAATAAACAAAAAAGTATAAGTTGAAAATAAAGAAACTAGCACAAAAAAAGACCTTAAGATCATCATGTGAATAATCATTAAAAAAGATAAAATTTTAGGGATTTAGATTACAATTTTCACGTTTTTAGTGCTAATGAGTGCTTGTAATGCTAGGTCGGATGACGTGGCATTTAACTTAGCCACCTTAACGGCAATTTAACATTTTCAGTTAATATTAACTGTAGGTGACTAACGGTTGGACAACTTAAGAAGTTAGGTGATCATTTTGTTAGGTTTAGAAGTTGAGTGACGAAAACGTTGATTTTAATAAAGTTAGGTGACCACCCATGAGAATCACCCTATTTTTAAATAAAAAAAATCTAAAACTGGCATCTTTATTTACCTCTTTTCTCAAGAAAGCATTCCTACAATTCTTTTTGGTACTTTCCTGATATGCGTTATGTGGATGCTTTTCTTTCCTTGACCCCCCATCCCTATGTGCATGGTTGCAGCTTGGATTGTGACTAACTGCGAACTGCAAATTGTTCTCCTCTTGCAGGGGCATATTGAATACTTAGGCTTGCATGTTTTGCACCTCTTTTACGAAATGGGGGTATGTGCAATAACTGCTGGATGTCATTTGTTGGCATGTAAGGAATTTAATATTTGTTGTTTTCTTTTGGAAAACTTCCAATGTCGAATCTGTCTTTTTTCTTAGATTCTTTCCCAAGGTTAGAATGATCTAGATGAATACAGAATTGCTTCCTTAGTGAACATGTTGGATTTCTAGCTCTTTGCAATGAACAATAATTTCATTTTTCATGTTGTTGAACGATCATTAATGCTCTCTCTGGATTCTAATGTTGCTTGAGATGTATCAAATTACTCGTAACATTCTAATCTAATTACTCATAACCTCTTAAGATATATCAAAATTAATAAATTTCTTAGTAAACTTAATAAAAAAAAAAGTGACAACTAAAATGGGAGAGAGGGAGTACAACAACTTGGAATTAAAACTTCTATTCATCGATCTCATTGTCCTCAAGGGATAGACCTTTGGTTTCCCTCGCAAAGAAATACGTCACCAGCGCACCCAGAAGACACACCACTCCCCATATCACGAATGCCACAGTCATTTTATGAGGATGTGGATAATCGGAATTAGCATTTGTTGACGATGCCCATTGAAATCCAATAGTTCCCACAATCGCTCCCACCTTTCCAATGGCTCCAGAGATCCCATGACAAGTGGATCTGAATCTGGCAGGAAACATCTCTGCCGGTACTATAAAAGTGGTCGTGTTGGGGCCAAAATTGGCGAAGAAGAATGTTAGCCCATACAGGATTGAGAAACCTACTCTGCTTTTCTTAGAATTTTGTACCTGTTTGAACCAATAGTCCTTGTACGGTATACCCATTGCAAAATAAACCAATGCCATCATTAAAAAACCAAACATTTGGATTTTCACCCTCCCAATCCGATCAATGAAATAGTAGGTGAACCAGTACCCTGGAATTGTAGCAGCAGCAGCCACAATTGCTTGGAGACTGGCAACTTTTAAAGCTAAATGATAGACGTTGGTAGGCTTGTCTACGTAGTAGAAAAATACCGTAGATAGGACGAGGTTGTTAGCGTAAAATGCTACATCGACCAGGAACCAGGAGGCTGCACAGTAGAAGAGGTCGCGGCCATGGCGGTGCAAGAATTGCTTAGAGAACAGGGGATAGGTTGGTGGGTGTGCCGGTATTGGGGCGTCCTCTGCAATTTCATTCATTGGAACGTCTAACACTCTGCCCATATCCACGGCCGCTTGCACCGGATTTCTCTCCACCAGTGCCGTAAACCTGTTAATTAATTAATTAAAATGTTTATTTTTCTACATTTAACCTCTCCATCATTAAAACACAAAAAAAAAAAAAAGGCATGAAGCTTTTCTCAACTCAACTAATCCTCGGAAAAGCTAATAAAACTTGACATTTTTTTTTTATGAAACTTATTTACCAATTACCAGTAAATATAATTTTTAAGTTACTGCTACTAATATTACGTAAAGGGCATTAATTGTTATTTAAACCCGTTTAGACCTGTAAATTAGCCGAGTTGGAATTAGTTCCAATTCATTTTGTTTAGGAACAACTTCAACTAAAGCGTGAGGCTTTTATAACCTAACTACTAAAACTCGATTATTAACTAAACTACAGTCAAATGCACTTTATTCGATTAAGTACCGTAAAGATTGAAGATCCGAGAATGACACGCTCCGGATCAATACCATTAAATTTAGGGTTAGAATTGTTCATCTCTCATAAATTATACTTTAAAATCTCAAAAAAATCATTTCCTCCATTTCTCAACTAACTTATAAATAATTTCAATATGTCGAAAAAAATTTAAAGACCCGAAAATTGTTACCCACACGGCGAGTGTCGGCAAAGTCAACAGCCAACCAAAAGTTTACAGTTAATGCAATTAGCCAAGTCAGTTTAGAAACGAAAACTAGGAATAGTAATATACCTAGCAGTTTCCGGCATCATCATCCGCAAGTAAAAAGTCAACGCAGCCGGAACTCCGCCGATCATCAGAATCAACCGCCACGCAATATCAACATCCGTCGTCATATAATCCTTGGACTTCTTAGAATACTTGTCAAATGACGAACAAACCACCGCTGTCACACCTGAGGCCGCCAAAATCCCAATACCCTGCATGGAAAACACTCCCGCTATGAACGCACCGCGCGTGTTCCTGTTAGCAAACTCCGCCATAATCGTTGCTGACAAGGGGTAGTCTCCGCCGATCCCCAATCCAAGCAAGAATCGGAAGAACACTAGACTCCCCAAGACGCAACCTGTCACCCCGCAAATAGAGAACCCACAAACGACAGAGCTAAGAACCATGATCGTCAAGGACAGTCCGTATACGCGGCGCCGTCCCTTTAGGTCACCGAGGACGCCAAATACGAGTTGACCAATGGCGGCGCCTAAGAGGACCACGGTGATCAAGGTGGAGCTGACACGGGTGGGGGGGTCGTCGTTGTAGTATATGTGGCCGAGGAGTCTGGTTATCGGAGGGATGCAAAAGAAGTCGTAGGCGTCGGTGAAGAGTCCCATGCCGGCGATGACGGTGGCTTTGAAATGATAATATTGGATTCTGGCATTGTCGAGCGCTGAAAGAACCCTTAATGGCATGGCTGTATCTCTATGGGTTGTCGAGGCTAAGAGGAATAAAAAGAGGAATTGATGTTGTGTATATATATACATATAAATATGTTCATCTAGCACTTCTGTTAATTTCTAATAGTCTAAATTTCACGTTTTTTACTTTCTAAACATTAATTTCATGTAAAAATTTAACTGTTATTATTTTTTAATTTGAAATTTATTTTCGATTAATGGTCGTTTTTCATATCCTAAATGAAACATCCTTTTTTTATGTTAACAATATCATTATCAACTTTAATTATTCATCATATTAAAAAAAGAAAAATCTCTCTTATCCTTATTACTTTTTTTAATGGTAATAACAATATAGCTAAAAATATAAAATTTTAATTGTCAGTTATTTATTTTATTAAATTTTTATTTAAAATTAATATTTAAAAAGTAAATGCATGAAAATATATATTTAAAAAATAAAAAAAGTGAAATTAGAACAACTAAACTTAAATAAAGAGAGTATTATATAAATAATAAAATAATGTACGCATGTTTCACGTAGTTTTCGAATAGAACATCTTTTACATTGTAATAACCAACATAAACCAAAGCCATATTTTTTAAACAAAAGTAGTGCTACAAATTAATTTGAAGGTTTAGGATCAAAACTTTACCCTATACGTATTCTATCATATATTCAGTGGTTTAAGAGTTGTGGTTATATAAAAAGTATTTGCATTAATAGTTTAAATGCAGTTAATAAAAAATAAATAATATTTAACAATTGAATATTATTGTTTTGTTATTTATAATCTAACACTTTTATTTGTCCCACCATAGACAACAACTAATGGGATTTAAAAAACTAACCACAGTGAACTTTTCGCACAAAACGATTAGAGAATTTTTATATATTTATTTTATTGACAAAATTATTCATTACAATTATATCTTATTTTTAGTTTTATATTAACATGTCAAACTCTATTTTTGTTCATGTTTGTTCTTTAACAAAATTGGTTAACCCATGACTAGAAAATAATTAAAAGGGTGTTTAATTTTGTAATTAAATGCTATTATTATTATTAATAATAAATAATAGTAATTCTTTTACTCACAAAAAATAAAAAAAAATGTTACAAAAATTAACTACTTTAGAATATGCTCTTATTAATCATATAACAGGAAAAAAATAATTGCTAACTATTCATAACCAAATAGTTATATTTTATATCAATTAATATACCCTACCTTTATCTGATAAGTTTCTATCGTTGAACCACATAAGCTGTAAATGTAAAATGATAGCAGAGGGAGAGAGTATAGTTTCGTTGTGCCATCTGAGGGCAGACTGCTGACTTTGTAATAAAGGATTCAGTCATTGATTCTGGGGAAGATTGGGATCTGATGATTGCTTCTATATGCGTCTAAGAATTTGAACAAAGTTCCTTTGTTGTTGAGTATATTAATGTTTTAATTTGTTAGTTCTAATTGTGTTCTAATGCCTTGTTATAATTTGGAATGCTTACAAATGCAACCCGTTTGGATCCATTACGATCACTAATTTGAATGACTGCATCTTCATTAACTTAAGCAATTGCCGGCTACAAGGTTAACAGCTATAATTGGCTAAGGTTTCATCATTGGATATGAGATAAAAACACCCATCAAGTTTACCAGTTTGATAATCGCCAAAACAAATAAATTTCCAGTGTGGTGCTCGCTTGTTAATTGCCATGCCGGTTAATATAGAGTGAGCGTCAGCAAATAAAGTCATCCCGAATAATTCCCTAAAGATACTTCCAATAATTTTCTATTAAAGCAAAAATAAAATGATGAACTAACCTCAAAAGTCAAGACTTTCTTTTCACCCGCTGTTTGGTTATTCCTGCTGATTGGCAGGCAATTCTCCAACCAAAATCCACAACTCATGACGGTCTTTCTTTCTAGCTACATACTTTGTTTTAGTACCTCAATGTTTCTAATTATCAACTCTTCCTGCAACTGCTGCCTCTCTCAAAGTAAAAGGAGTCACATTGCGTTCAACAAGAGCTTCTTTTTCTATAGATATATATCATAAAGGTGGGACCACGCTGTCTATTGGAGGACTTGGTGTCCTGTGTCTCATGACTACAACTTCTAGGATTCCATCAGCTTGAAAAATGGGAGAGAACAGTCGAGGATCTACAGGTCCAGGCAGATTAAAAGAAATGGTGAACGGTCCCGGAGGACTTCTTTGCTGCAATTTCATCTGGTATACAGTAGATGAGCCTTTCAGCAGTCCAAGTTCATCTGGTACCACGCCTTGTATGTGAACCCTCCCATCACGTTGGATCCCACATTTTAGATTACCTGTAGGATAAGCATTAAATACTGGGTCATCTCCTAAACATTATTCATAAAGCAAGAAAACATGGGTCAAAAATACCTGATTGCATGGTTCGCAACGCCACTTGATATCTATCACTGGTAATGCTTAGATAATAACTACTCTCCCCGAAAATAATTGCCATTTTTTAACTTTTTTTTTCTAAATTATAGATTTAGAGATTAGTTATATATGAGAAAAGTGTTTTGTAGGTCGTCTTGCTAATTTTTTTTAGATAACCTATCTAAAAACTCATTTTTTAATTAATATTTTCAAAAACTAACCATTTGGATTGAAAGTTCTGTTTACATAGATCATGCATGCCAATTTTCAAATTATTCTAGTAGGTTTACTTATTTCGTTGATTACAAAAAATTTAACATTGTTAAATCTATACCAGTAAATAAAGTTTCATTAATTAAAAGGTTATAAATATTAAATCAATATGAAAATTGATATGCATGATCTACATAAATAAAACTTTCAATCTAATGATCGATTTTTGAAAATATTAATTAAAATATGGATTTTTAGACAAGTCTTTTAAAAATAATTTAGGAGGACGACCTGTCCTACACTAGGAAAAAGGAAACTTCATCAATGCTTCACCTACTTGACAAGAATGGTGCATTTAATGCTCCATTGGGAAACTTAGGAGATAGGAACTTACTTTGATTATTCCTGATTCCAGGCAATGCAACTCGGAAGAGGTAGGCACTGTGACTAACACCAACGTCAATCAGACCAATGGGTGGTCCATAGCTACCTTGCTTTGCCGTTCCAGTTAAAACAACTGCTGGCCTCACCCCTGGATTGTCAGCAGAATCTTGCCCACCCATGCTTTCACTTTTTCTTCTTTCTTGAGGTTCGCCTGTTTAATTCACAAGAGACAAACAGTCAAGCAGAAATCATAACTTAATGAGATTGACTTATGCAAGTGTTTGGCTACATGTGATCTGGTTTGCATCCGTTTTGCAGTGGTCACAAACGTTCCCACATCAGCAAAAGGGAAACTAGATGGACCAAAATACTAACTTTATCTGTACTAGATATAATTTCCATAAGCCTCATTTCATTACACACCTTCCCTTAAAAGAGAACGAAAGAAAGAAAAAAGAGTTATTTCAAATTTGCCTCACCAAGCATCATAGCATATTTCAATAGCATATATCTCAGACAGTTATTACTCCAGCAGTGGTTTTCACAGATCAATATGTTATGGTATATATAGAAAATACAATGCAAGAAAAGGATGAATGCTTAAATGGAATAATTAATTCTCTTATTTAACAACTATGGGAAGGCAATGCAAACAAAATTTTAGGTTACAGAAAGAAAAGACCATTCGAGTTTTCCCTGCATCACTTGAGTTATCCTAAGGACATTTTCATACTATCCACAATGAATAAAAATATCATTATCCATTTCAAACACATGAATGGCACCATATCAAATTACCATTCCAGTATCCAACCTACCAAGCCGGAAAATCATATATCATACCACAAAAATGGGAGATAAAATATGCTAAAAATGTAAAATCAACTCATCAATCACCAAAAGCAAACCAGTTAGAGATTTATACAACCTCAACTGGTTACCACGAGAAAGTAGTAACATGACAATCCTTAGCTTATAATGTCTTTCCCCTTAAGTAGACTGTAAATATAAGTTTGTAATGAAGTACGCAGATTCAATTTATCACTTCAAAAGTAATAAATGTAAAGGGAAGAAACTTCAATCACGTAGGAGCATCCTTACTCTGTAGATGTTTTTATTGACAAATTAAAAGCATAAGCAGCTCCTTTCTTCCCAGAAAAGGTAAACAAAATGCCAATCAGTAAAATGAACCATACAGAAAGCAGAACAAGGTAACAGTATAGCAACAAACAAATATAGCAAGTAAGTTCACATACAAACTTCAAAGCCGCGGCGGCGATGCACGCCAGTAACAATCGAAGTCTAAAAAAACACAATCAACATAAAGCAGAGTTGAAGCCTGGATAGCTGAATCAATAATTAATCTCTCCTCATTCCCACACATAAACAAACACAAAATACAAAAAGAGAAAAAGGCATTGACTTTATCCTAATGCAATTTGGAACTCCAGGAATTAATTATCCATAAACAATGCTAAAAAGATGAAGCACACATAGGATTTCTTAAACTGCCAAAATCATCAAACCAAACATTGAAAGGCTAAATCCAAGAAAATATCACAAAAAAGAACATATACGTATTACCGTCGGCGTCCGGCGGTATTGTGCGAGCTGTCTTCTCCGGTAGGAATAGGGATTCTCCGATTTGCGACTTCAAGATTCAAGTGGAGCTCGAAAACTCAAGAGGAGGGTAGTGAAGCGAGAGCAGGGCTCTAAAATGGAAAAAACAGTCCTGCTGTACTGTAGTGTTGTTTACTTAAAACCTCATTTACGAATTAACCCCTCATCCAGTAAATGCTCAGAACCTTGGGCAATGTGACCCCTGAAGATTTAATGCTTAAAAAAGCCATTAACTTCCTATTACCATTATTAAATTTATAAGATATATTATAAATTTTAATTTTATTAGATTTATTACGTAAATATTGTTAAATATTTTGAAAATTTTAATGATAAAATATTTTAATATTTCCTTTTTCCACTGTAATTAAACGGTTTGTGATTTTATTTATTTATTTGATGGAGTACTAGTGTTTGATTTTTAAATTATTAACAATAATTACCAATTATTAAATTAGACAAAATTAAGAAGTTGTTAAATGCTAGTGTGTTTAAATGTTTAAAGTAAGGTTTTTTCTTAAGGTTGTAATTAATACAATTTTTAATTGTTAAGTTCTATAGAAAACTTTAAAAATGAATATTAATTTTGATCATAAGTGTATTAATTTAATTAGTTAATTATTAAAATTAATGTTAAATTTTTTTTACGTAATTTAATAATTAAAAAATATATTAAATACAATATTAAGAATACAAATTAAAAAATACTTTAAAGTAAAGATCGACTTCTTTAAAACAATATGTAAAATCTGTCTTATGATGCCCCAGCAACCAGACAAACAAATTAAAACAGGTAATTAACCATTTTTTATTAGGAGTAGTAAAAAAGGGATAAGATCAACATCTTTCTTAATTGTGATTAATTGTACATGGAATTGCATTAATGCTCAATCAAAATCTTTTATTAAATGTTTTTATTACTGTATACATAATACATTTATTGGATCAAATTTTATCATTTTTCTATGGAGAAAGAAAAAATCAGTACACCCAAATCCAATTACAACATTTCCCGTTTTCTCTCTTTATTATTCTTTTTTTACCATTAGTATTGTTAATGGGTAATTGCTTATTTGCTAGCTTTAGAAATGGTAAAATATAAATCACTAATATGTAAGTGAGATAAAATAAAAAAAATGACAAGATTATCTCTTTTATGTAATTTAAAATAATAATAATAATAATAAAATGAATTGTACTATAAATCCATTATATATAAAAATAATGATGCTAATATAAAGCGCGCCGGTGGCTTCTTGTGTTGTTTAGTGGAATAACTTGGTCCCAAATAGGACCCTCAAAGCAAAAATATGCACTTGATCCCATTTAATTTGCAAAATATGCACTTAGCCCTCCAAGTCACAAAAAGGAGCACTTGTCTCCTTGTTATTGAAAAGCATGCACTTAACCCTCAATTCTAATAAATATAGAAGGTGAAATATCAAAAATACTTATAGTTTGTTTGGTTTGAAGGAATAGAAACGGATGAGAAATCCTTTATTTCAACCAATCAAATTAAGTTCTTAGACCAACAAAATAATTAATTAATTAGTTATAATAATTCCTCTCTTCTTTTTTTTCTTGTCTCAGACTAAATAGACAGTTAAGATCATATGCACATTTTCCAATCCACAAAGAGTTAGGAGCACATTTTATGGTTTGCATATTAAGTGCATATTATTAAATGACTAAAAAAGATTAAGTGTATATTTTTAATCCACAATTAATTTAAAAAAGGATAAACCTTCACTTCCAACACCTTGGTTAAGGAAAACAATTTTAGTCTCTCATGGTTCGGCTTGAACCCTTCAACATGCTAAGACTACCTTAATCGAAACACCATAGGAGAAACTAAAGGAAAAAGAGAGAGAAGACCCTTGCTTGAGGGGAGAGAACCAAACAGCCAATAGTGGGAGACTTGCAGCCTCTGAAACCCTACAAGGGAGATGGCACACAAGAGATGAACTTTTACCATATTTCAGTTTATGCTATAATTGACTGATTGTATTGCGCTGAAAAAATACATCTAGGTCAAGAGATGACCTTTTGCCATATACATGCATATTTATATATAGGTCCCCATCAAAAAAAGAAAAAGAAAAAATATATATACATATATATAGAAGAAGGAATTTATATATAAATTTTATACATTATATTTATACAAAATCTTGATTATTTATTTTTTATTTTTAATGATTGAGATTTATCATGACTTTTTAAATAAAAAAAAAAGATAATTATCTTTAATAAATATAAATAAATTTTAATTTTTAAAAATAAAAAAAATGCATGATTAAAATTTTGTGTAAATATGAATTGTAAGACTTATATAAAGTAAATTTCTACTTGTATATGCATATATAAAGAGATTAAAACTCACTTACACAGATGTAAGTCTTAATTTATCAACCACTTCTAAATCTAAAGGTTTGAAATATATTATAAAATATAATGCTATTATTTCAATCATCTACATATTACTCTATATAGAGAAAAGTGAAGAATAAGTTCATTTCTTCCCCATAAAGAGACTAACCAAGTAAACTGAAGCCAAATATTGTTAAAATGTTAGCAACATACACCAAATTGGACATAACACAGGTATTACAAGAGCAGGGTAAAATCAGATGGCTAACTCACTATTACCCGGTCTGGAATCGGGATGACCAAGACGCTACCTGTTAATCATGTCTAATTACAACAGCTTCAAAAATTCCATCAGATCGGAAGTTAGGTGAGAAGAGTCTCGGATCAACACGTCCTGGGAGGCTAAAGCAAAGACTGAAAGGTCCAGCTGGGCACAGTTGCTGTAGTTTCATGTGGAAGACACGGGAACGCTTCTTGATGATCCTTCCACCGGATGTTGATCCCTGGATACGAACGTTTCCGTTGGATTCAATCTCACAACTGAACTCACCTGTGCCAACAAATATTGCCAATTTGTTAAACCAGTAAAAGAGAGTGATATTTCTTAGAAAGATAAAACACAACAAATTGTACAACATTCTATAGATAAGCTCTAAATAAAAAGGAATACTGCTATCTATGGGGTAGGACACAGCTCTCTCATATACCGCTCCCCTTCATCCAGGCCCTAGGTGTTGGGGTGTTCAAAAACCGGAGAAAACCAAACACTTGAACTTCGGCTTTTCAGTTCAGCTTTCAGCTGTTTCACTCTCGAAATTGGCTATAGCTGAACAAACTGAAATAACCAGATGTGTTAAATTTTGTATCATAGCTACCCAACTCGCACCGAATATTACATGAAGCTCTATATCAAATAAAACCAATAACATATGAAACTCAAATCCCAATTCATCAAAAATTGAAATATCACAACCAATTCTACCAATAAAGAACCCCAAATCATACATGAGGTGATAACCAAAATGGCCAAATGGTTCCTTTTTTCTTTTTGAAAATTTTTGGTCAGATCGTTTTCAGAAAAACGAATTTCGGATATTTCGAATTTAGGATTTCGGTACATTGTTGAACCGAACCCACAGTTTGACTACCTCTATCTTCATCCACATTAGGCCATCTTCAATTAGCCAATCCCCTTAAAGATAGAGCAGGTACCATGGTGGTTTGTTCATAAATATAGAACAAAAATGAATTATACACATACTAGATGTCACATGTTGGCAGAATAAATCAGAGAAGCTGAGGAAAGAAGATAGACATACAATAATCCTTTCTGACTCCAGGTAAAGCAACTCGGAAGAAGTATGCAACTTTGCTGATACCAATGTCAACAACACCAACTGGAGGTCCGGTTATTCCCCCTTTTGCAGTTCCTGTCATATTAATAGATGCATCAAGTACACATTCATCCACATCTGGAACTTTTAGAAGGGGCATCATCGCACGCCCATCCTTTTTGCTGGTTCTCTTCAAGGATCCTTCTTCATTGTGATATTTTAACACAGGCAGGACATTGGAAAAAGATGAAATTTGGGGCTCGTCACAGCGCTGCCTTCTCTTATATGTCTCTTGAAACATTGCTGATCCATTACCATGACCATTGGGGGCATGTCTAGTAACTCTCTCCTCACTGTTTTTCATGCAATCCTTCCAATCATCTTTCTTTCCTTTCTGGAACTCATGCTGATAGGATAGGGATTTGAACTTGTCAATCTTCAAATCATCCATACCAGATAAGCATTTGAACCATTCCATATCCTTCTCTCTTGCATAGGATGCAATTGGATCATCAATTAGAACAATTCCCTTAATAATCTCATTGCTTGTGGAGTACCTTTTCTGTTCGTGAATATTTGAAGGGAAAAAACTTGTGAACTGCTGGTAGTCATCTAGCAGAACTAAGCTTGGCAAAGGTAGGTTGCCCATTAGATATGCACGCAACATCTCTGGTTCTACTATCAGGCTAGGATGAGCATTCTTCAGAACATAGTAATACAAGCTCTCCAACTGAGAAATACTGACAAATGAGGTACCAAGATTTTTTGAAGTGTATGGAGGCAAATTTTCAGCTAATCTTTGAGAAGCTGAACGTCTTGGGTTATCAGAATAGACATCAGGACCCAAGTAGTTGCTCATGATGAAGTTAAGCAAGAAGTGCTGATCGTTAGTTGGGATTCCAACAGAAGCCATTTCATTTCCTTGGATGTCCATGTTCACAAGCTCACTTTGTCAAAACCAAAGTAACTTTTGGAAGTACCTAGAATAGTCAATTAGGCTGAATATCAGATCATTTGTAGCATTTAGTATGTAGATCAAGAACTAAAAAAAGAAAAAAAGAAAAAAAAAGAGAATATAATCAATAGATTATTTTCATAAAGTTATTTGGATATTACTAGCTAATACCCAAACACCTTCTTTCATCAAAAGGAAAAAAAAAAAAAAAAAGTCAATGTTCAAACAATAACAGTTTTCAAGTTCCTTCACCTATATCATTCCTCTATACTCATTGAATGCCAATTGCACAGATTAAGCAATCCAGATTTTGGCATGAATATATCTCTCTAGCAATTTCTTAAGTTCAAAATCAAAGCCAGACTCACTAAATTTTGTGAATTCACACATCACATATCATAAACCCTCAACAACCACAAGAACCCTTCACTTCCTCTCCCTCCATTTGATTCCAATAAAAAGATGGTAAAGGAATGTACCATCCGTGTTTCATTCTATTAGGATAAGGATTGCAAACAAAGTACCAAATTCAACATAGTTCTCATCACGCCATCTCCAAGAACAAAAGAACACTGCAATACAGAACATATAAAGCTGAAACATTCTATGAGTAAATTACCAAAAAGGAAAGCATAGACAAGATCAAAATTTTAAACCTTTACTCAGCATTCAGCTAAACCCCAGGTGCAGGAAGAACACCATTAAAGTGGGCATCAAAAGAACCCTAAGGACTGCAACAAAATCTGTAAAAACAGAGATATTAGATCACCTTTTCCAAGCCTTGCAAAAAACGGGTAGAATTTGGTTTCAAGCTGTGAATGTGCTCCAAGCAGCTCCCATTTGAGCAGCACTGTCAAAGGACAAGGAGGGTTTTTTCCTCTGAAAGGGCCACATTCTGATGTTTCTGCTCTCAGGAAAGCTACAAAACAATCCACAAC